AAAACGACCTACAAGAACTGACATTAATCAGTTATCCTGCGGTTGTTCAAAGTGGGGTGGAAGGACTACTACTACTACTACTACTACTGTGTTGGCTACTGTAACCCGTTCACACCCAGCACACTGGTCCAGAACAACCAGGTCATATTCCCCGACCAACCTGTCCTCAGAGTCCATGCGGCTCAGCGGTTCACCATCCGAGGATGATATCTCCACACTCGGCCGCCTCTTGTCGTCCAGCTCCCCGCCCCCGCCGCTGGGCTTCTCACCATCTTCACAAACTGTTTTGCTCTTTTCGCAGTCTATCCCCGAGCAGTCCTCTGCCGGCTCCTCCTTCGCCTCTTTCGCTGTGTTGTCCTCGGCAGGTTCGTTGCTACCAGCTCCGGGGCTCTCCTGTGACTGCGGCTTTTGCTCCGGTTCTTCTGGAGCGGCTGTCGACTCCTGTTCGACCGTTGCAGCACCGTCTTCTGTCACCGCCTCACTCGCGGCCTTGTCTGCCGCTGCAGCGGGCTTCTCCTCGCCAGCCCCCCTGTCCACCTCTTCCATTTTCGGTTCTACGCTGCTGAGTGGTTCCTTGGTTTCCGGTTCGGTGAGGGCCTTTTCTTTCCCCTCGCCGTTGCCCTCGTTTGTCTCCACGGGCAGCGCATCGCTCTCGGTGCTCAATGCGGGGGTTTCTTCTGTAGCCGCAGCAGCCATTTCCGTGGCGTACGTACCGTGTGACACTTTCGGTATTACAATTTAACCGTGGCACAGTCAGTCAAGCGCTCCTCTGCAGAAGAAGGGCTGGGTCAGAGCACACTGTCTGCTCTCTGATTGGTCCGAGGCGGCACGAGGAGGAGAAACTCTGACGTTGGTATTTAAACTTTCCATGTGTTTCCCAAATCACACAGCTTGGTTTAAGGGGTTAAGTCAGGGGAGTGAAGTGCTTACTAAAGCAACCGTTCCCACAGAGTCCTCCAGGGACCATGCGTGATGATCGTTTGACTCATGCTCTCAGTTATGAGCCACTATTATAGGAATTTAAGAACTTTTGGGTTGCCATCTTGGGAAAAAGCCTTTTTAATCATCCTCGTGTTCATCCTCCACCAGCAGGACAATTGATTTGTGTTTGTAGTTCATCAGGCAAACACTAGAGTGAACTGTTTACCTCCTGGAAAAACAACATCTAGACCAAAATTATTTATTAACATAATTATAAACATTTATAAAAAATAGTCTTATTACAAAGTGTTAAATCCACAAGCAAGTTTTAATAGAGCATCTTTCAAAATCTGGATATAAAAAAAGTTACTTTTTTAAAATAATTTATAACTGAATTGTAAAGCATTAGCAAATGATTTATTAACTTTCAATAAAACCATTAATTATAACTTATAGCCTCTTTATGAAGGGTGTTTATGAATGAAATACTCTGCTACAGGTTTAGCTACACAAATAACTAAACCAAGCAACTGGACAAGGGATGTTTTCTCCTTTTTCAGGACAAAAATAAACTCATCCAACGTGGGCTCTGGGAAAGATGTAGTCTGCACCATCATAAACGCTGTGTACAAATTTGCTGCAAGATATCATCAATGTTGCAGCAGCAGGACCACAAGAGGGAGCCACAGTTCTATATTAACACTGGCTGTCACTCAAACTGAGGACCTGAGGCCAGACTTACCAAATAAAATGATCCCACATTCACCTCTTTCTGTTCCCTACAAATGAGCCATTTTCTAACTGATTATTTCTGATGAAGGTGATAATTAAAAGTATTCACCCAGTGAAAGGTTTACATGGATTTCTTCTCAGCTTGTCCACTAAAAGTACAGAACGCAATGCAACTGTTTGTTAAGAACAGCAACATTTATTTAACATGATATAAAACAGATGGAATATGAACATTTGCAAATCAATTCTAGTTTGTAACCATATGTTGGATACATCCTCCCATCATGCTGTACCATGTACATTATATACACAGTAAACCTCTGATAATTACACTATGTACACGCACAAAAATAATCCTGGATCCACAAATGTTTTATTTTTATTGCTTTTTTTTTCTTTAGTTCCAAGACTTCAAACCGACGTGTCATAAAATAGAACCAAACTCTCTTTTCGCCTTCTCTCAGTTTAAATATATCTCTCAGCAATAAAAAAAGACAGTATAGAGTGACTAAAGCCAGAACATTCACATATGTGTCGGCAACAATGCGACAGGGACTGCAGAAGATCCCATTTTAAATAATTACAACCCACAAACAGGAGAAATTACAAATAATCTTAAATCTGCAGCAATAAAGTGGTCCCTACTTTCATTATAATTGAGGGATCTACATCTCTTATATACCCATCTTTCACATCGACAAATGTTCTTTACAATAAATTGATGAATATGAATGTTTAGCTAATGACTGATGTTTAAAAACAAACAGGGATTTCTAAAAGACTTAACTGAACTAAGACTATGTGAAAACATGTTCTTGGAACCTTTTTGACCAGGTGGTGAAACATGAATGGAAAATGTAGCATAGCCCAAAACAATTTGTCACAAGCCCTTTGGCTCACAACAGTCTATTAGCCTCATATGTATATGTGTGTCTATATAAACATGTGTATATATATATATATATATATATATATATATGATTTTTATATGCACTTGTTTACCACAAAAAATATTGAACAAATCAATAATAAAAGTCAGAAAGATGAATAGGTGAAAAAAAGGCTGGCACAAGTCAGCAGGGGCAATCTTCTGCTCTATTTTCACTTTTTTCACACATTTGGTGTATTATTGCAATATTATAATATAGCAGGTAACAGTCAACAGAATCACAAAACTGTCAGCCTAAATCATGCCCCTGATAAATAGCCCCCATATTGACTTAAAAAATAAAAAATAATACTAATACAAATTAAACAAACTAAACTAAACTGATAAACCTTTAAACAATAAAAACTAAACTAAACAGAATGGAGAAAAAAAACAAAAACAAAATAAAAACTAATGGAAAATACAAAGAAAAACACACACACACAAAATGATAGAAATAAATAAATGTAATTTGCTCAAACTATATGAACAAATTGGCTTTTAAGTCTAGTTTAATATCTGTTGTAGGCTTCTTGTTTGTGAATCTTTTCCCAACCTATATTTCTATGTCTATGAATTATTTTTATGTATTAATACTAGCTACATAGTCTGCTAACAATTTAGGAATGTGATTGCGGCTTGTGACATTGAGTCCTTGTCAGCAGCAGTCTGTGTTAGAATCTGCAGCCCGTTGTTACATGTCACCCCCATCTCTCTTTCCCCACTTCCCTGTCTTTCCACAGTTGAAATATTAAATGTCCACTTCCTCATTGAGGATGGTGGTCTCATGAACGCGCGCACATGAATAAGCCTCGCTCTACAAGATGTTGGCCTCATGACCTCATTATAAATCAATCAGTTCAATGTGCAGGGTGTAACAGCATGGTTCCATCAACATTATTATAGACACAAGCACATGGCTACAATTCACATTCAAATATCCAACATTTTACACACACAACAGCAGTATTGTTTCAGTAGTAGAAAAAGTTTTCCCAGTAACCAGTGTACTAAATAATTACAAAAAATCTGTAATAATATTAACGAGTTATTTGTTTACATTACTTTTGTTGTCACCTGATCTGAAAAATCCAAAGAAAGGTTACAATTACCAATTTAGACTTAGACAGACTTATTTCTGTCCATTTGGATTTGCATCAAAATGAAGTTACGTTGCAATGGCAAAACATAGCACAGCGGAATGAAAGGGGAGGCAGTAAATGTACAAAAATAAATATGAAAAACATAAAAAAAAGAAAAAAGAAAGGAGAAAAAAAAACTTTTGTATAAAAGACCAGTAGATAATATATATTGCACAGTGTAGTTGCCTATGTAAAAGAAACTTTTGTATATAATACAAATAAGAATAGAAAACGATAAATAAGTCCTACTGGAGCAGTCCTGTGTAGGTGAGGAGGGGGAGGGGAGAGGGAATGGTTATACAGTGTTCAGCAGTCTTATGGCATGTGGAAAGAAGCTATTGTTGAGTGTTCTGCTCCGCAGCTGCGGAATCTCTTTCCAGAGGCCAGCAGTGAGAACAGTCCCATGGTGGGGGTGGGAGGGTCACTGATGATGTTTTGAGCCCTGGTCAAACAAGCGTTTCTTTGCTGTGGTCTGGAGCGGAGGAAGTGAAGTCGCAATGATTTTCTCTGCTGTCCTCCACCACCTCTGTAGGGTTTTCCGAGTCAGAGGCACTATAGGCCTGAAGGTGTGAGAATGGGAGCGGGTAGGTGCACTCTCCTCATCCGGTCGCAGAAAGTGCAATACGCTGCTGGCCCTCTTTACAAGCGGGCCAGTGTGGTTTGACCAGGTCAGAGAGTCGGTTATCTCACCCCCAGAAACCTGGGTTGCTGGCTGACGATCTCCACTGCCTGAGTTGTTGATGAATAAAGAGGAGTGTGGCTGGCGCTGGGTTCTTCCTGAAGTCCACAATGATCTCTTTTTGTTTTTGAGACATTCAGATCAGGTTGTTGGTTTCACACCAGTCTGCCAGATGTTTTCACCTCCCTCCTCTGGTATGCAAACTGTTCATCGTTGTTCTTGATGAGGCCCTTACTGTCGTGTCGTCTGCGAACTTCAGCCGATGTGGTTAGTAGTGAATGGTGCACAGTTGTGGTCCTCCCCCAACCGTGAACAGCAGCGAACTCAGGACGCAGCCTAGGGGGAACCGGTGCTCCAGGGAGTTGACACTGGAGACAATTTTTTCCCACCCGCACGGCACTGAGGTCTGGAATAAGGTGAGAAGTCAAGAGCCAGTTGCCAGCAGGTGGGGGCTTGAATCCCAAGGGGAGCCAGTTTAACTTATCAGAGTGTTGTGGTATGATGGTGTTGAATACGGAGCTGAAGTCCAGGAGACAGCATCCGCCACATGTGTGTTTTTCCCCTTCC